CGCCCAGGTCCCGGCAAGGTCCTAGCAAGGTCGGTTCAGAGATGCCGGAACTCCTGGGCGCTGGCTTCTGGACACCCACTAAAGCCCCAGGAGCGCCCCAAGGGAGCTTCAAGGGCCCCGAGACGTCACCAGAGCGCAAGATGAGTTCAAGACGGCCCAAGAGACACCCAAGACGGTCCAAGAGGACCCGAAAGAGAGCCTCACGACGCAAAATTGAAACATTTGAGCCCTCGCGTTTTCTCAAGACGGCCCAAGAGGCCTCCGAGATCGCTCCAAGACGGCTCCAGAGGCTCCCAAGAGAGCCTTAAGACGGCCCAAGAAATCTCAAAGAGGTCCCCAAGGGGGCATCCGAGACCGCCAGCAGGACCCACGAGCCCCCCAGAAGCCCCCAAGAGGCCTCACGAGGTCCCCAGAAGCCCTCAGGGCCCCAAGAGGCCCCCAATCAGGGGGGGGGCCCAAGAGGCCCCAAGAGGCCCCGAATACGCAGGCCTCCAAGAGGCCCCCCGAGAAGCATCCCAAGAGAAGCCGCGAGGCATCCATAACGCCTCTGACCCATAACCTGGGCACCGCGACAGGATGCACCGACGGAACTTCGATGGGGGTGCTTCATTGAGCGTTGCCTTGCAACTACCCTGCCAATACTTCTCTTCCAAGCAATGTTCACGCGACAGCCCAGGGAAAAGCTCGTGACCCACCGACTTCTGAGCCCCCGCGATCACACAGGTAAGTGCCAGCGGTGATACAGCATGGGCTGGCGGAGTGAGCGCAGCAATGAAACTAACGCCTGCTGCCACTCCCCAACCTTTTCGCACGCGCCGATCCCAGCACTGCAGATTTTTGCGTCCAGCTCCAACTCTGCGTTTCGGAAGTCGCTCAGCAAGCCCAAAGCCTGCTGCCACTCCTTCCCTCTTCCACAAGCGCCAATCGCAGCAGTGTAGAGAACTGCGCCAGCTTCTGCGCGAGACTGTGACACATCACGGAGCAAACTCAGCACCGTTGTCCACTGCGCTGTGCTTCCGCAATTCTTGATGGCTGCTAGAGGAGAACTGCCGCTCGACCGGGAACCGCGCCAACTAGCTGTGAGAGGGATCTGGGCTGCCGACTGACACTCCACGTGCTGCCCGCCCACAAGTTGCTGCCTCTGGGCTGCCAGGTCTGACAGCGGAGACAACATCGAGCGACCCTCGGCGGAAGGCTACAGGACTGAGACGGCCCGAAATGCATGAGAGCGGCTGCGCCACGGAGCAGACAGGGACGGAGAGGGGGAAGAGGGCGGAGAGGGAGGGAGGGAGTTGTTTCGGATTGCAAAGCTGTTGAAGTCAATGGCCTGTCAGCGGAGTGCGGCGCTGCAGCTAGCAGGGTACCAGAAAAATTAGTCCTGCACGGGCACCAAGAACCAATCACAGCACAGTACGGTGGGACCCCCGCGACAGGGCGGACAGAAGCAAAAAGTCCAGACCCTCCCAATGCTCACATGAATCCCCTCCCTCCGTAATAGGCAATAAAACGATCAAGTGGCAACAGATGGTTTGCGGTGCCCGTCCAGAGCACTCGGGAGGAGGGGTGGAGGGGGGGAGCGCAAAAGTTGAAAAGAACGAAAGGGAGGAGAAGACTGGGAAACAGACCGACAACCTCCACACCGGCCCCTCCGGGCTTAAAGGCTGGAGGCGCAGGGATGTGCAGAGGACCGCGCGAGCACCCCGAGACCTGACCCACAGTCCACCTCCCTTCACAAAGCCGACGACAGACGGATCAAGGCATACAATGCTCGCGTGGCGTGCCGTACAAGGGCACTGTGGAGAAGAGGCGGAGGGAGGGAATGATAATGCTTCGAGCTGGACTAGGGAGAAGGAGCAAAGCTGCTGCCATTGCGGCACGGTGCCAGCTGCAGCCACAATAATTTCAACAAGCGCGGCATCCACATCAAATGAGGGGGGCCGAGGTGGAGGAGGCGCAGGAAAAAACATACCAGGACGCGGCGTAGCTTAATATACTTCCACTGCACGCTCATTCTCAACTCCACGACATATTTGCTTCAAGGCGGCCAGCTGGAGAGGAGCTCCAGCACGCAACCATGGCATCCGACATCACGCTTCTCACGATCCAATGTGCTGTGGTCGACAGGAACAGGCTCTGCGACGGCCACCGGGAGCTATGCAGAGGCGGCCGCAAACTCCAGAGCAGCGCCAGCGCCAGGAGAGACGGGGGCTGTTGCGACGACGGCCACCCGGAGCTCCGAGGCATCGGCTGCAGCCTCGGTCGCCCTTTCCAGCGACGTCTGCGGGGTGGGGCCCGGCGAGGCCCAGCAGGGGACGCTTGGGGGGAGGGGCTTGCCCACCACCGCGCCGCGACCACCGCGAGGCTCAGTCGAGTCAGCACTTACTCCGGACGTTGCGTCAGCCACGGCAGCACTCTGGCTCTTGGCCATGGTCGCGCGCGGCCACAGCGGCTGCACGCGCCAGCCCAGCAAACTCATCGTCCGCCTCGCCAGCAGCAGCATCGGTGGCACCACGTAGCTGGCTGCGGCGGCACGCTCCGCGTCGGGAGTGGAGGCGGCGCATGGGCTGGAGGCCCGCCCCGCCTGGGGACAGCGTGAGGAGCAAGCCCATCGGCACGTACGGGACCAGCAGCGCGGTCTCGAAGTGGCACACAACGATGGGCGTCAAGTGGGACGGGGTCACCCGCGTGAGCGTCTAGCACCTCCCCAATGCCGTCCACGATCGGACATGGTTGGGGTCTCGGCGGTCCAATCCAAGAAGGCGTCGACGGCGGCAGCGTCGAAGACGGCGAGAACGACAACGTAGAAAACCATGTTGGAGCGGCGCCAACGGACCCGGAAAGGTCCGTGCACCCCGCCACGAACGTCGGGTCCGCCGCCCTCAGCACCGCCTCATAGCCGTCGGCGTCGGCACTGCCAGCCACTCCTGGCGGCTGGGTCTGGGCATGCACGGCACCAGGGGCACGAAGATGGCGAGGATAGGAGGGCCGCAAGCGCGGACCAGGGCGGCGACATCCTACATGTGCGGGTGACGGCCGACCCGAAGTCTCCCTGCGGGCGCACGACACTCTGGCCTCGGCTGGGCTGGCAGCGGCGCCGGCCGGAGGAAGCTCGTCGCGGCAGGGCCCGCACGCCGCAAGGGGGCGGGCCGACGCGCATGGCAGCTGCCCCGAGCGAGGTTCGCGGCTACCTGGCATCCGCGCCCAGAACCTCGAGACGGGGCGGCGGCTTCGGAGGAAGGAAAGAAGGGAGAAATGGGGGAGGGAGGGACGAAGCAGAGTGACGACAGCGGGACGAGGAGAAGGAGTGGGGAGGAGGGAGGGAAACGGGAAAGAAGAGGAGTGACCTCCATCCGTCCTCCTCACAACCACCTCCACCCTGTCGCACCACCAGACGTGTCGTTAGGGCGGGCAGGGCATTTCGCCTCAGACTTCCTCACGGTTTTCCATCTTGAAACTTGCCAGGTCCACCAGCTACACGCATGGAGAACAATATTTTCCCCAGAAAGGGCGCCGGCCCAGGGTTCTCTTTTAGTAGGTAAACCTGTCCCCTGGGCCAGATTTCTGTAAGGCCGGCGAATGATTCTGCGATAAATTACAGAAAGTAAAGTGTGAAATGTCAGTTGAGCAAGTGCGTTTTTCGCGTGCCCGTTCGAGGAAAGTTTGCCTCCCATCTCGGATCCTCGGTACAGAAAGGGGTCCGCAGACCACCGCTTCCCTTCGTAAAAAAAATGCGGGGCATTTTGAGCAGAATCCTCAAAAACAAAAAAAACAAAAAAACAAATCTGGAGCCCCGACCGCGACGCGGAAAAGCGTCCTGCGCGCAAGAATTCCGAGGATGTCTCGCGCGTGCCGCGTCCCGCGCGCAGGAATTTCGAGGATGTCTCGACTAATTCGCTTGTTTTTCGAAGATTTCCTTGGCCACACAGGGGGATATCTAACATGTTCTGCCCGAGCTGGAACCACGTCGCTTCACGTGTCCAGGGCACCCAGGTGGGTATCTAACATGGTGGTCCCGAGCTGGTACCACGTTTTCCCGTGTCCAGACCACCCAGGGGGGTATCTAGCATGGTGGTCCCGCGCTGGAGCCACGTGTTTTCACGTGTGCAGGCCACCCAGGGGGTATCTAACATGTTGGTCCCGAGCTGGAACCACGTGTTTCACCTGTCGAGGCCACCCAGGGGGTGTCGAAAATGGTGGTCCCGCGCTGGAACCGCGTGTTTCACCTGTGGAGGCCACCCAGGGGGTGTCGAAAATGGTGGTCCCGCGCTGGAACCGCGTGTTTTCACGTGCCCAGGTCGCCCAGAGGGTGTATCTAACATGGTGGCCCCGCGCTGGAACCTCGCGTGTTTTCACGTGTCCACGCCACCCAGGGGGGTATCTAACATGGTGGTCCTGAGCTGGAACCACGTGCTTTTAAACGTCCAAGCCGCCCGTGGGGTATCTAACATGGTGGTCCCAAGCTGGAACCACGTGCTTTCACGTGTTCAGACCACCCAGGGGGTGTCTAAAATGGTGGTCCCGAACTGGAGCCACGTGTTTTCACGTGTACAGGCCACCCAGGGGGGTATCTAACATGGCGGTCCCGAGCTGGAACCACGTGTTTCACCTGTCGAGGCCACCCAGAGGGTGTCTAAAATGGTGGTCCCGCGCTGGAACCACGTGTTTTCACGTGCCCAGGTCGCCCAAAGGGTGTATCTAACATGGGTTGGACCGCGTGCTTTGACGTGTGCAGGCCACCCAGAGGGGTATCTGACATGGTGGTCCCTAGCTGGAACCATATGTTTTAACATGCCCAGGCCACCCAGGAGGATATCCAACATGGTTGTCCCGACCTTGAACCACGTGTTTTTACGTATCCAGGCCACCCAGGGGGGTATCTAACATGATTGTTCTGAGCAAGGGCCACGTGGTTAAACGTGTCCAGGCTACTCAGGAGTGTATCTAACATGGTTTCCCGAGCTGGCACCAAGTTGTTCAGGTGTCCAGGCCATCCAGGGGGATATCTAACATGGTTGCCCCGAGCAAGGACCACCTATTTTAACGTTCCGTAGCGTGTCCCCTTGGCATGTCCCGCAGTGCGTCCCCATGGCACGTCCCCTGGCACGTCGCCTGGCGCGTCCCTTGGGACGTTCTGCGGCGCGTTCTCCTGGCATGTCCTCGTGTCAATTAGCTCTGGGGCAGTTACTATGTGCCCAGGCAGCTCGAGCACAAGATCCAGATCAGTTCGGTCAGGACTCGGATGTAAATGAGGACTCGATCCACAACGCTATAGAGCACAATCGTGGCATGGCACATCGCAATTCAGCACGGCGCAGCACAGCACAGCCCTCGGCACGGTACATCAAGATCGATACACTTAGCATTGCAACCTGGCACGTTCCCTGGCACGTTCCGTGGCGCGTCCCGTGGCGAGTCCCCCCGGCACGTCGCGCGGCGAGTCCCCTGGCACGTCCCGCGGCACGTCCATTGGCACGTTCCGTAGCGCGTCCCCTTGGCACGTCCCGCAGTGCGTCCCCATGGCACGTCCCCTGGCAAGTCGCCTGGCGCGTCCCTTGGGACGTTCCACGGCGCGTCCTCCTGGCATGTCCTCGTGTCAACTAGCTCTGGGGCAGTTACTATGTGCCCAGGCAGCTCGAGCTTGGATGCAAAGGAGGACTCGATCCACAAAGCTATAGAGCACAATCGTGGCATGGCACATCGCAATTCAGCACGGCGCAGCACAGCACAGCCCTCGGCACGGTACATCAAAACCGATACATTCAGCATTGCATTTGCCCGTCGCCCAATCAGGTGTCTTGGAAGCGTGGCCATGCCTTACATATCCATATTCCTCTCCGGGTTCGTGGGTCGATCATGTTCGATATGGGACTCTCGCCTTGGCGCCGCGCACGCTGAACATAATACATCCGCAACCGTGCCCTGAGGCACGGAGTGGGCAAGTCCTAGGGTCCCTGGCTGAATTCCTCTGTACTCACTCCTGAAGATGATTAAGGCTTGGACCCGGAGGCTCCCAGGTTTTGTCGCGTCCAGTTTTGCCGAGCGGCGCTCCGCTAATTTGCCTCGGGCGAAAAGATTCGGTTTGCTTGATCCCCAATTAGCGACGCGAAGCTCCGCCAATTGGCCTCGAACAGAAGGATTCGGATTGCTTCGCTCCCATTAGCGGAGCGGCCCTCCGCGAAGTGGCCTCACACAACGGAGTTCCCGCTGCTTCGCTCCCATTAGCGAAGCCCGCTCCGCTAAGGGGCTAAGACTCGTATATTCTCCCATCCTCCCCCCACCCGTCCTCCTCCTCCTCTTCCGCCTCCTCTTCCTCCTCCTCTTCCTTCGATCGAAATCCCTCAAGTGGTACCACTGGGATACCACATAAGGCATATTGCTCCTGACCCCCAACCCAGGTTCCAAGGATCTACGCCTGATAGGATCGATCTGACTCAATGGATACCACTTCGGTACCACGTGTGTCCTCTGGTCCAGAACCCAGGCCACGGAACCCTGAGCAGCATCCGCGAGTCCTCTGATCCAGAAGTGGCGGGGTGGGCCGAAGGCCATCAGATATACGAACCCAGCGCGATCACAATTAGGGGAAAGGTTCCCATTGCACGGGCGCAGTGCTTGGCTTTGCTTGGCAACGCTTTGCAACGCCAGGTAACCCGAGAAACCCAAGCAAAGAACAAGACTGTAGAACCCGAGGAGCCCCAGCAGGAAACAAGACGGGAACCCAAGGAACCCAAGCAAAGAACAAGACTAGGGAACCCGAGGTACTGGAGCAAGGAAGAAGACCAGGAACACCGAGGAATCAGAGCAGGGAACAAGACTGAGAACCCGAGAAACCAAAGCAGAGAACAAGACCAGGGAATCGGAGGCCCGAGGAGCCCAAGCAAAGAACAAGACCAGGGACCCTGACGAACCCTGATAGGGAAACAAGGAGGGGGAACCCAAGGCCCTTGCAGGGAAACAGACCCTGGGACCCCAGAGGAACCCCCAGGGCGAGAAAACGAGACCTGGGAACCTCGAGGAACCCCAGCGCGACCGCGTCAGGCACCCACTGGTTTCTCACAAACAAGTAAGGGCCTCCAAGGCGAATCCTGATTGGGAGAATATGTGCGTATGTATAAATATCCGCCGACCCTGTCGGCGTGTGTGAGGGGCTTGTCCGTTCAAGTCGTCATTTCCGTCATTCGTTGGTCGTCGTCTCTGTCGCCCCCTTTCCCTGCCTCCCACCTTTCCCTGGGCTCGTCGAAACTCTCCCCTTTCCCAGGGACCTCCTCAGCGCGCCAGCCAAAGCAAAGTTGAGCAACGTCGTAATTGAGTCGAAGGGAAGCCCCCCTCCGCGCCAGGGGGTGGGGGGGTGGGGGGGGGATCCCCGGGGGGGGGGTCAGATACGACGCCCCCCTGGGAGTCCGGGAGCCCAAAAAAGCCCCAAGACGGACCAAGAGTGCCCCAAGAGGCCCCAAAGGCAGTCCAAGAGAACCCCGAATCGCCGAACGATCTGTCCAAGAC